TGAACAGAGGACAAGCATCCAGCAACCGGGAAATCATGCAATCTACGCACGCACAAATGTAAAAAAAAAAAAAAGAAACCTTGAATTGATAGATAATAAAATATATAAAATTACTGTTATAAATATAATATATGTTGATCCTATCAATCCTATTAAAAGGCAAAACTTTGATATTTTTTAGGACTCCTAAACTGAACAGAGGCTGGAGAAAACAAAGTGCTGAGCAGAAGAAACATTCGGCGTGTCAGATTCCCGGGCTGTTAGCAGACATGCCATATGTAGAAGATAATACTCACTGTAAGCTTAAGATGTTCTGGCAACAAATCCTTCAGCTGGGCGATGCATTCGTTGATTCTGTCACGTCGTTTCTTCTCGATGAGTCGGTGGGGCAACTTGTATGTTTCCTGCAAAAAGGGTCAAATGTTGTCAGTGAAATCCAGGCGCTTTAAACTGATAAAGGCAGGAATATTCATGCATTTGGACTTTTATTTACCTTGTTCTCATCCACACGCTTCATTCCCCTCCTGGGTTTGTACACATAGATGGGAAACTCGATTCTTTGGCGACAAGATAACAAATAGTTAGTCTTTAGTTTTTTTATGTGTCAGGATAAAAAGTGGAAAAGAACTGAATAACATTGAAATATTGCTCTTACCCTTGCATGTCAGCTATATCCATTGATGGGTGTTTTGGCACACAGGGAGGCGGTTGCGCGCTGGTAATCCTCTCCATATTGCTAAAAGTATGAAACCCGAAGAAATGAATTTTAAAAAGCCTTCAAAACGCTCCAAATGTGTGTCTGCAGTCGCGACCAAAAATCATAGAAAAAAACCTAAATAAAGGCAAAAGTATAATGTCCTGATATCCCGGGAGTTGGGCAGTGTTGTCACCCTGAGGTCCGGACTGTAGATGTGTGTCTGGGGAAGCTCCACGCCCGGCTGGATGTGTGAGAGGAGAGAGGGTGGGTTCTGACTACGTGTTAAATAAACCCTGTGACTGCAGGCACGTCTCTGGGCTGGAGACACACACTCAACACCGTCACATGAGCCTCACGTGTTGGACGGCGCTTTCAACTGCTCACCCTCCCCGCACCACACACACACGCGCGCACGCACACATCATGCACGCGCGCACCTCCTCCCCCAGTCCTGCTGCTGGAGTACAACCCATTGGTGTAGTACTCCTCCACGGGGGCTGAGTCTCGTGTACCATGCTCCGGCTGGCGGGGCGAACCGTGTTTACAAAGACAGAAAGTAGAGCAACACTCGCTGCTCGACGGTCCAGACGCAGAGGAATATTATTATTTTAAAAGCCTTTATGTTGAATTAAAAGTAAAAAGAAACAGAAACACTGACGTCATTATTAAAACGTATATATATATATATATATATATATATATATATATATATATATATATATATATATTTTAGCATTTTAACCATGAGTTAAATGGCTGTATACACCACGAGATTCATCGACGTCATAATAAAGTCAACCCTATGTCAGATTTGGTTTCTTGTCATCATAAGGTTATGTTAGACCACACCATATATGTTGTTTTTACGAAGCTGGATAACAGAACTATTTAACAAAACAAAAATATATATGATAATATTAGTAATAACATAATTATCTTACAATAACTCAAACTATTTGGTTGTTAATACTGAGGACTTGTTATTATAATTATTTAGTTTCTTTTTAAATGTTTTATTATAAAAAATGTCATTTATTTATTTTGTATTATGTTTTGTATTGCATTAATAATCTATGAACTTTAAACCACCTGATAAAAGTGTTTTTCATAAAGCAAATAACAACTATTCGACAACAACAAAACTGACGACGATACTAGCAATATTAGTCTTATACTATTTCCAATGGTTTAGTCTTTTATAAACACTGTGCACTTAAAATATCTACTTTTAATTATTTTAATATTATTTTGTTATTTTTCTCTATGTTTAATTGAACGGACGAGACGCAATACTTTGCTCACTTTTCCTAATACGTTAGCAATAAACATTACATAAAACATACAACCTATTATAATCTCACAAAATGATTCAAACAATGTTTTTAATGCATGTTCATGTTTATTGCAGCGAATTGAGTGTGTGGCAGGGCATGCGTCACGCGCTCTGTAAAGCCTTGTAATTTAATACTGTGCCCTCTCGCTGTGTGGCACGTGCACCTGCGGCGGGATGACATTCGTTTTGTTGTGTGTTTTTTGTATAGCTCCTAAGCGCTGTGCTGATAGCAGTAAATCCTCTGTACCTGCGGGCTGTCACGTTGAGCTCCTCACGGCGGAGGGAAAAGCCGAGGAGTGTATTGGGGTAATGGGAGCAGCTCATCCCTGCCGATGACGTCACTGCGGAGATAACCGAGAGTGCCCGAGTGGTCGCTCGGTTCCACGCGCCGACGTCCCGAAACACCACATACACAGAGGGGAAAACAGGTGCAAAACAAAGGTGCGCCATACCGGAAATGAAGGCGCGGGAAAGGGTCAAACTTTGTTTTAAACCCTGATTATTAAAAGGTGGAGAAAATATAACAAGTGTCTCTAAAATCCTCCACTGCTTTTGTTCTGTTGAAAAGAAGCAACAATAAATAACATGATGTAAACAAGGGGGCAAAGGTGGAAGAAGAATCCTACTAGTACTAGTTTTTTTTAAAGTAGCAAGAGGCCTACTAACTAGTGATGGCGAAGCCAATTGGTTCGCTCATCTCATGAGGCTTCATCATGGGCTTCATTTGAACACAAACCCCCCTGTTGGTCAAAGTGTGTAAAACAGGCAGATTTGACATCTCAATAATGTGCTTTATCTCATACCGAGTTCCCAATGAGTAAAGCCTTAGAATAACTCTAAACAACGAACATAAAATCATATTTTCATGTTAACAATATTGTATTTATTCCAGTTTAATGATTGTGATTGAAAAGCCTAAGGAGGCTGGTAAACATTGCAAAGAGGGATTTGTATTCCTTAATAATATTCGTAAACTTAACCATGTTGTAGCCTGAGAAAGGCTAAACCATATCAAAGAATACATTTATTAACTACATTATGTCATTTAGCTGTATACACAAACAAAAAATAATTATTGACCAGTCGTTGAACCAGGGACCAGGGACGTGCACAGACATTTGGAGGGGCTATTGCTCTAAACTGCAAAAAGGGCCAGTCATGTGGTATTGAGGGGCAGCGAGGCTTCGTTTGTCATCGGTGACGTCACTGGCCCAAAACGATACAAGCCTCGATACAAGCTTCACAAAAAACTTCCGGGAATACTTAAACACGCTCCGAAGCCTCGGCGCAATACGTAACATCACTACTACTAACGTGTTAAAATAATATTTTTGAAAAACGTTTAAAATCCTGCATTCAACATTGGACTTTGGTTTTAAAAAAAAAAAAGATTTAGCAACAAGATATAGTTTAAAGGTGGGATAGGTAAGTTTGAGAAACCGGCTCGAGATACACTTTTTGTTATATTCCATGGAATGCTCTTAACATCCCGATAGCAATGAATATCTTAAGTGCTTTGACAAAAAATCCATAAAAAAAATGTCATCTGTGGAAGCCGTAATACTGTAAAAAGCACGACCAATCATTTTAGCCGGCCCGGCTAAAATAACTGGATGGCCTACCTGCCTGTCAGCCTTCCATCTGTGCACAAACTTATCTCGTGCCCTCATTGGTCATGTGCGCGTTCGTGTGTGTTGGAGGAGGGGCTCTATAAGGAAGTGGCAGATTTTCTCCGGTTGTGTATTTTCAAATTCTAGCGATCTCGAGCCGGTTCCTCAAACTTACCTACCCTACCTTTAAGTACAACAGTAAAAGTATGAATGCAGAATGGCCCATTTTAGAATACAAAATGATTGTATAATATGTACACAATACATGTATTCAACTGTTTATGACTTAATTGTTGCTGTTGGTACAGGTTGGGGTTATTTGAATTACTTTACATGCTGCTGGCCGGCTAGACTATAATCATTTATTTTGAATCTCTAACCTGCAGAGTAGCTATTAATTTAAGCTAAGTAACTGAATAGAAAATACAATATTTGCATCCAAATGTTACTATAAAGTAGTATTAAATGGGAATACTCAAGTAAAGCACAAGTACTTCAAAATTGTATTTAAGTTTAATACTTGGGTAAATGTACTTAGTAACTTTTCACCACTGTTGAACCATTTTCCTTTGAAATGTAATGGAATATAAAGTAGCTCTGGAGTAAATGTGCCCAGTTACTTTCCCCTATACTGCGAATAATTACCCATGTTGCTACTGTGACAATGAAATGATTATGTCACGATAAAAAGTTTGAGGGACAATGTAGTTGGCAAGAATCTACATTATGTTACTCATATGTTCAACAGATTTGATCTGATTCTGTTAGCAGTTTTTTTTAACATTCAATGTAAACCTGTGGAGGAAATAGGAGCACATTGATGAGCAACATGCATGCTCTCACTTCAATTTTAGTTTGACTCAAAGCAAAACAGCATCTTGACTCAGAGTCATTTACACTGCATTATTCTATGTTGCACACATGGTGAGAGAGACTCATCTGAAGACGAGAGAAGCTTGATAAATACTTGGCATGCAGAGAATCCTTATAGAAAGTCCCTATAAATCATATGCCAATTTAAATGCAGCCGATTATACACATTCCACTCGAATGCTGGTAGTTTCCCTGAAAGCTAAAACTTAATTCAGGACAATACAGGTTATATTAAAACTGGAAAACACCAGCTGAAATTCCTGCATCTGATTCGTGGAATTTATTTATATATTTATAGTTGTATCTAGAACAACATATACAGTGTTCATATTGGAACTGTTTTCTTCTATTTGATTTAATTTACTAAATTAGATTTGGGTAAAAATGTACAAGGTTGTATAAATAACCTTCGAGGCTGAACATTGTTAAACAATAAAGCCATTTTTTATTTTATATGGATAACTACTAACAATAAAGACAACACACATTTAAGGATAATTACATCAATTTTAATAAATAATTCTACTTTAATATACAAATAGACAGTGCTTAGATCTTTAGTTAATCTTATCATTCAGTTGTTTTTTCTCCAACTCGTTTTCTATACAAAAGCGAAGATAAGCAGCAAACTTTATGTACACATAGTAGTCAAAAAAAAAAAGCAGCATGAAAACCAACTAATACATTTTAGAGAAAATTAAAATAAAAGTTAGAGACTCAGCAAACATGTGTCAGACTTTAAACAAAGACAGAAACAGGCACAGTGGAACATGTTTGCTGGACATTATGCTAATGAAGTTTATTACAGTAACATACTCCTGAGCATTTTGTAATAGCGTGAGTGATACTGAATAAATCACACATTCTAAATGTCCTTTGGAACTGAATTAAACAAGAAAGCAAATTTACCATAAAATAAGTTAGCAGTGAGATATGAAAACACTTGATTTACACTATTGCTCTCACACAATAAATAACTATCTCTATAGAGGGTGGTAGATGTAATTAAGGAGGCCAGCTTATATAGTATTATCTCTATATTTGAGTAAGCAAAGACAACTACTCCCTATTTAATCCAGAGAAACAGAAACAAATTGGCTTTTAAATAAGACATGATCGATTGAATCAACACACCAATGAGGTTGCATATTTAAGTTATTATATATTGCACCACATACAAAAATAAGACATTTAATACTGCCCAGAATAGAAAACATTAAAATGGGACTAAATATCCTCCTGTCCAGTTCATCAAGTTCAACCAGTAAAGGCCATGTGTTGAGAAATCCCAATTTTCTTTTTTTCTACGTAGAAAACTTTTGGCACCGTTTTTCCGACCGGACTGAACAGAACGAGGTGAGTGAGCGTCACTTTTTTTTGCGTGGGGTAGAGCTACACATCGCCTTATGACTACCTATGGTACAGTGTTTCCCTACCGTTATTATGGATTACACTCAGTGCGGTACGCGTTATATGCAGAGCCGTCACTCAACCTTACGCGGGCTGCTGGGGGTTGGCGTTCATGTGCTGAGGGTGTCCCAGCAGACCAATCCGCTGCTTCTGCTTCCTCTGTTCGGTCATCTGAAGAGCACAGAAAAAAAAAAGACACATTTCCCAAAATGAATCCACCATTTTCCTCATCTTGGCTACATCCTCTGTCGATTTTACTTTACAGAAGCGAACACACGGCGCACAATGCTCCACTGATTCTTTTGAAATCCTTTCAAGCATCGTCATCCGCGCTGCTGTCTGTGACCGCTGACGAAAGCAGCACAAAACAATATACTAATACTGAAACCCAGTGAAAAGAAATTTCAAACATCAAGCAAAGCACATGAGTCATAACACAGGTGCTAACCTTTTTAGCGCCACAAACAGAAAGGGAAATTCTTCTTTCTGCCAAGAATTCACTTTTTCCTTTAAGATAAGGGGAGCATTTTACACCTCGGCACTGAAACACAACAATATTAAGAGCGAGAAGACAAAGTGGTCTTGCAATGAGTGTGTCAGGAGGAATAATTCAATGTGTTGCAGAATATATCATTAAAACACATCAGTGGACGGTGTAAACTCAGTTAGCGGAAGAATAAGAGCCTTTTTTTCAACACTATAATTGTCTAACTTAGCCAAAAGAGAACATCAGTGCCATGTTCTCTCTGAGAGGAATCAGCATTAACGTGACTGCACAATCATACTTGTTGAATCGTTGCTTCATAAAACAAGTCAAAAACAGGCCTTGCACATGTTGGATTGGGACTGAAATGTGACGCTACTGTGCCCTTCACAGCTTGCAGCAACACAATAATCATTTCCCTCTGTCTGGGTCAAAATGTCTCGGTAACATTCACTTCCTCACACGTAGTTCTCATTTCAAGGGTAAAGACATTTTTACTATTCTGTTTACTAGAACCGCCGGATTGCAGCAATTGTGCAATAAGTCTCATGTATTCTTAGGCAATGAACGGGCACTTTTCTGGTCTAAGTGTTTATTTTGCAAAAGTACTCTTTTAAAAGTCATTCTGAATTACTAATTTATTAAAGGGAGGGAAAAATAAGGATAATGTTTATTTTAAAATGTTGAAATCAAAAGTGTCAGGCATAAGGAAACTAAATGAGATGAGGAAGATGTTTTGGTTGCATTCTGAGAAGAAATTCTGAATAATATTATAGGAAAAAAGCTGAAATGTTGAGAATAAACATGTGATTTCTACCAGAGCAGATGAACTGAAAGCTCAGCTGTATTCTCTAAATATCAAAAAATGTCTAGAGAGTTTGACTTTGTTCTAGAAATGCAAAAAATACAAATAAATATGGATGTTCCTCCCTTTTATTCCCCTTACTCTGTAATCTCACTCTGCGGTCTAATGAAAAGCTATTATTTTGAATAAAATCACTGAATTCTGTGCTCTGGTAAATTCTGATTAAATGAAATCAATGAAAAAACAAACACTTAAAAAAGAATAAAATGAAATCAGATTAAGAGCCTCATGAGCTGTGTTGTGATTTGCTGTATGACTCACCACCTCATGCATTTAGAAAGTCCTGCATCTAAAGGGCAAGAGCTGCAAACAAACAAACTTTGTGCAACGTCTGCTCTCAGCATCCGTATTGAAACCCCATCAATTTCTTGTTACAGCTGAACCCACCTGCTCTTTGAGCTCCGTCAGCTGTCCTGACAGGTTGCACACCAGCTTCATGGTGGACTCCAGCTTCTCCTGCAGGCTGCGGATCTCGTTCTGCTCCCCGTCCGCATCGCTGCTCACCAGGGACATGGCCCGCATCCGAGGGAACCAGTCCAGGTTGTGGTCCTGGGGAACACACACCTGAGGGGTTAACAGCAGCCAACACAGTGACACTGATGCATCACATGCTTTATGATTTGTCTTAAGTCCATTGTAAATTGGGCAGTTGAATTCTCTGCCAGAAATATTACGTTTCTATAATTTTCAGTAGGATTATGGAAAAACGAATGGCACCCCTTTCATGAAATTTGGTGGAAGGATGTAGCATGGGCCATCAAACTACACAAAATATTTAGTTATTTAATTAAAGGGGCCCTATTCTGCTCATTTTCAGGTTCATATTAGTATTTTGTTCCTCTCATGTTTACATGCTCTAATGTTCAAAAAGCTCTTTATTTTTCTCATACTGCCTGGACAGCACCTCTTTTCACCCTCTGTCTGAAACCAGAGCCTAGTCTGCTCTGATTGGTTAGCTGTTAAACAGACCGACGTTAACCCTGTCTGTTAACGTCGGTCTGTACCGGGGGGGGGGGGGTGGGGTGGTAGTGGAGTACAGAGCTTCGTGACCACAGAGCGTGTGAACGTTGTGATCAGCTGTTTTAGCGCAGTGCTGCTGTACAGACCGACGTTAACAGCAGCCCTGTCTGTGCACACGGAGACCGACTCTGTCGTCCGGTGATCTAACCGCCTTCTGGAAAAGCTTCACAAGTACGGTCGGTATGCAAATGCGCTTTGTGACACAAGTGACGGTACGCATTTCAGATTCTTGCCGCACATGCGTACCTGCGTACCAGTTATGTGCACCCCTGCCTATAACACACTGCACAGGAAAGGGAAAACCCAGAAAGCAAAATAGGGCCCCTTTAATTACGCAAAATAGGACATTTTGGCCTGGCGGACGTCTACTCTCCGAGTACACATCCTTTTATTATCATTCGATTAAACTGGAATTCTGGAAAGAAATGGCTTTAATTTCTATGTTTTATTAGAAAAATGCTTCACACATTTGGCATCAAGAGTTAACAACTGACAAGCTCTATTTGATTAGTGTTCTTTAATGTCTTCTGCTTTAATGGCTGTGTGCTGTGATTTGAAGACTATACTATAAAAGCAATCATGAGGGACTTTCCATATTTTAATCACATGGGATGTGGGGACATTCTTCAAATCACTGTAAACAGGCCGTTCACTCATCGCTGACATGTTTTCCATCACGTCTACTCGTACCTTACGTTCAAGCATGATACAACTTACACAAAGATGTAAAACGGAGATGAGAAATAAATGTCCTAATTTGACTCGCATCACACGCTGAGATAAACACGAAGCACTTGAATTCTCAAGTGAGGCAATACAACTATCATTGGCTGTTTCATTAAGTGCTGAATAAAACTAGCCACTCTATCTGGAGGTGAGGTTTATTTTTAAGTGTGTGTGGTGAGTTACATTTGTTTCACTTAAAGCTCACCTTTTATGCTATATTTGAACAATATATTACAGTTTCATATCTATGCAAAACATGTCTCTGAAGTGTTTTGCTCAAAATATCAAACAGATCACCCATTGTAGCCCTGCCTCATAACCCTCTATTTCAGCCCTGTTACTAAAGTGCTGATTCTGGGTCTGTAGCTTCAAATGCAACCGAGCTGCTGCTGGCCACGCCCCTTTGAGCTCTGAGTCTGTGAAGAGAAGAGTGTCTAACAGCAGAAACTCGTGATTAAACGCCATATTATGTGCCAAACTACATCAAGGATTATTTCTGAAACAGTATGGAGCTCAAACACTTACTCTCTCGTGGGTTTACCACAAGGTGAGTACCTTTTTATATCTGGCTTTTTTACACATATGTTCTCCACTACAGCGGTAGCTCTGAGTGTTAGCGATGTTTGCTAATATAAAGACAGACCATATTACATCAAAAACACATCGCGCATTGTTTCTGATACAGCACATTTCCAATAGGGGACGATAGGTTGGGCCGTGGACTGAACGTTGCCAGGAGTTCAACGTAAAGCCAGCCCACATTATAGTAATGTCGTCATGACCGCAGCAAAATCTGGATCAGCTCTGTTGAACCTCCATCTTAGAGATGTGGGTACGGAGGAAAAGAGAGGTTTTTTTTGTCTTACACTGTGTGAGTCTCCTTACACACCGGGGACACGTATTTATGTATAAAAGACAGAAAAAAGTGCATTTTGCATAATAGGTGACCTTTAAGAGTACACGTTTGATATATAAGATGAAGTACTGATTCGTTCGTGTTAAAGTTAATTTGAAATATCCCCTGGCATGAACGACACCTTTGATTAGGGACTGCTGACTAAAGGTTAGAGATGTTAAAGCTTGGCATGATGTGGGCACGATCACTTTCAGTATGTGTGATGGTGTAAACTGATTACAGTAGTTAGGAACGAAAAGGCAGTTTACATAGTGGGAGGTGTGAAAATAAAATATCTTAGTCTTGGTTGTAATTTTTCTGCATGCGTTTTATACGTGATGAAATAATGAAGCAGAGTTATTATTGCGATTTTTATGAAATCACACTTACACTATTCGTTCTGGTCGACATTGTTTTAGTTGATACATTTAATTGATTTACATGCAGTTACTAAATCTCGACAGGATATAGTAGTTTTCATTATCAGTGTTGGAAAGTCCCGTTCTTGGACTTTCATTTACACGTTTAAGGGATTCTAAAGAAGCAATGCCTCTGTGTAAACCACTTTAACGTACATTAATACCTGTCATACTGTTTACTCTCCCAATGTTGTATCACTGCTGCTGCTTCACATTCATAGCAGAGAAAGAAAACAATATATATGGCCAGTCCCTGTCTGTCTACTCTTATTTATCTAAAAAAAAAAAATAATGTATATTGGAAAATCACCATATATATTTGTGATATTAATGTCTTAAAAATTGTAAAATCCCTAAAGGCTGAATCCACAAACATTAATACCAGAGGAACAAAATATTATAATAATATATTTATGCAATCCCTTTCCGTCTACTTTATTTATCTGAAACATTCTGTATCTATATCTTTGAACTGAAGAATCGCTGGTTCATGTCCCGATCGGACCAGTGTGGACTGGTAGCTTGAGAAGTGCCAGTTCACCTCCTGGTCACTGCAGAGGTGCCCTTGAGCAAGGCACCGAACCCCCCACTACCGCTCCCAATTTCGCTGTGTGTGCTGTACTGTTTGCATGTACATCTGTAACAAAATAAAGAGGGTTTCATCCACCAATTCTTCCTAAACCGAATGAAATGGATCAAAAAGTTAAGGAAAAATAAATTGACTTTCTGGTTTGTATTGGAAAATAAGACTAGTATTGAGAACCAAGTATTACATCAATACCAACAATTTATTAAGGTATCTTGAAATCTATTTTATTGTACCTTTCATGCACTTTACTTGTATTCATAAGCAACAGTGTCTCCACATGAACCCAAACACCGAGCTCAGGGTTCACTCAGGGCCACTCGGCTGCATTCTTTCACGCTCCCATCTCCTCCGGCACTCGACCACCACATGCCATTGTTATTGAGAGCTGTCTGAACCTGCTTTTTTAAAAGGCCACAGTCATGGGAACGCATGTATGTTTTACACGTCTCTATAGTCCAGTGGTTCTCAAACCTTTTCTGTCAGGGCCCCCCTTTGGAGAAAAAAAAAAAGTTGGGCCCCCCCCCCCCAACACAAATTGTCAGGCTCAGTGGCAGCGCCAGAGATTTATTTTGGGGGTGCTGTGGGGTAGCTTGACGTTTCATAGAGGGTGCTCAAACATTTAGGGTTTCCCATTGATGTACCGGTCGCTACAGTGGAATTTTCTACTGCAACAATCCCCACGCATATACACAGTGTACCCGCGACTGTTACAATGAAGGCTCGATAATCAGCTCACGGCATATAGGTGTAAGCAGGGGTAAAGTGCTATTTTTATAGGTGGTGTGTGGACCTCACATAGGGCTCCCCGGGAAGATTTTTAAATATTGAAGTTAAAAGCATCAATCTGGTGCACTTTGAGAGCAAAATGAAGAGATCTATGGATACCTCTCTCAACACCCATATGAAACAGAACTGTAAACAGATTTACTTTTTCTTTATGGATATTTTACAAATCACCCTTTTAAACTTTATTCTTTTTTTACTCTCATATAGTATTTCATAGCCGTTTTTCATTTATTCTCTTATTTTTTTATAACTATAATAAACGTGTGCCTCGGAAATAATTGTTTACATTAATGGCCCACTGAGAGAGTCCTTAGGTCACTGAGGCTCTCAGTCTGACAGGAGAGGACTCTCCTCCACTTTGTTGTTGAAAAAACTCCTTATATCCGTTAGCGTAGCTCGCTAGCACCAGAAGCTAACAACAACGATCTCCGGTACCGGTGCGCTCTCTCTCTCTCGCGCACGCACACAAAATGGCTTGTTCCACACACACACAGAGCCGAGCTTTAATGAAACACAGAGACCCAGACGTAATAGTACTGTACTGTATCATATTATTTTCGAATCAATAATTTTTCAAATTATGATTTTCTTTGTTTAATAACCATTTTTCCTCCTGGTCTGTCATGCCTCTGCGCCCCCCAGGGTGGGCGCGCCCCCCACTTTGAGAACCACTGCTATAGTCTGTCCTTCAATCTACAATATGATGCAGCATGAATGAAAGCAGAGGATGCTGAGGTTGACTGGCTAAAAACAAGCAGAACTGGTCTGGAAAAGTCCCGGAGGTTTCAGTGGTTGATACGGGGGCGTTGGGGTTGAGGTGGCCTTCAGAACCACAAACCAGTCCTGGTTCAGAGGCAGACAGAGGGGAATCACACAGCGCTAAGATGATGAACAGCACACATACACACACACACACAAATACACACATTCTGAGAAGAAGACTGCTGTTAACAAGTTCCACTTTCTGACTGCAAAGAGTCAGAGGCTGTGTTCACCTCGTTAAACTGCCCCCATACACCTTCATTCCTGAACCCTTTGCAACTATACTAATATACTTTTGTATTCCTCTCAATACATGTTTAAGTACGACATTTCTATCATTGCAGTGCTTTCA